CCCCCCCCCTCTCTCATCTCCCTTCCAGAACCGTCGGGTCAAACGGAAAGTCCGCAAGTTCTTCAGGAAGCTGAGAAAATTACTCCCCGGAGGCGGGTCGACCATCGCTCACATTAACCCAATCAGAAGATTCCGCATTGCGTGAGAAGTTGCTCCTTCTCGCGTGGCCTGATCTGTCCCAGAGGTTCCCACGCATGCCTGGAAGAAGCCCCCCAGTGAAGATGGTCAGGTGGCCTTCAAAACTGCACCTTCTCCCTGGTCTTTGAGAGGCCCCCTCCATTCCTCCGTCTTCTTCATTCATAATAAAACTCCTAAGTTATGTTCATCCCTGCGTCATGTTTACTACAGGTAGCCCTCGACGTACGACCCCAATTGAGCCCAGAATTTCTCTTGCTAAGTGAGACATTTCTTAAGTGAGTTTTGCCCTGTTTTACGACCTTTCTAGCCACAGTTGTTAAGTGAATCACTGCAATTGTTCAGCAAGTCACACGGTCGTTAAATGAATCCGGCTTTCCCTGTTGACTTTGTTCGTCACAAAAGTGGATCACGTGGCCCCGGGTACAGCCTCAATTTTGATCACGTGACTGTGGGGATGCTGCAGTGGTCGTAAGTATGAAAAACAGTCATAAACAATGGTCCTATATACATCTCGGAGGTCCCTGAAATTAAGGCGACCAGCTACCCAGTTAGAAGCAAATACAGGAAGTCCTTGATTTATAACCCCAATCAGTCCAAACACTTATGTTGCTAAGGGAGAAGTTTTGTTAACTTGAGTTTTGCCCCCATTTTACAAACTTTTTTGCCGCTGTGGTTTTAAGTGAATCCCCGCCATTGTTCAGTTAGTGACACGGTTGTTAAGTGAACTGTGGGAATGGTGTGATCTTAGTTGTCGGCAAACCGCACTGGGTAAACAATTTTAACACAAAGTCCTAATCTCCTCAGGAATGTAAAAACAGGATGTCTGGCAGAGACCCTATCTCAGATATACAAGGCATGGGGGCCCAGCACGTAGGCAATTGTTTGTCATAGGAAAGAACATGAGGAGAACACAAGGGGTCCATATGGAATTCACGAGCTTTCTTTAGCCAATCAGTATCAGTAAAATGTTAATGTTTTGCCATGATAGTTGTAAAATGACAATAAAAGGAAGCCGTTTGAATGGGGTCAGGGTGCCTTAACCAAGGTGCCTTCACACCAAGGGGCCTTCCTGTGAACCATCTTCCTGCCTACGCGTCTTTCTTCATCGAAACAACATGAACTTGGCTTCTCCCTTGCTTTTCTTTGTCAGAAGGTCGCAAAAAGAGGACCGCATGAGCCGGGGACATTGCAACCCATCGTAAATTTGAGCCAGTTGCCAAATCTTTGAATTTTGTGTGAGTATGCAGAGTCTCCCAAGGTCATTCGCACATACCCTGAATGCTTTAACAACTACCGTGTTTCTCCAGAAAGACGACCCACCTTGAAAAGAAGCCCTATCACCTTTTTGAGCGCATGCAATCAAATTAAGCCCCACCCACAAAAAGCCCTAATTAAGACCCCGCCCACCCCGTGGTGCAGGGGGTGGAGCGAGGCACACAGGTAAAAAATAAGCTAAGGGTAGGGATGGAGGGTGGAGCTGCCCTACTTACCAGGCCTCGCGCACCCCGACACCTGCCTCGCCTTCTTCTGCGGCTGCTTGCCGCCACTCGCACGCATCGCCCCGGCCTCCATTTTGTCTTCAGATGCCTGCCGGAAGGCTCTGTTATCGGCTGCAGCTGTCTTCCGGCAGGCATCTGAAGGCGGAACGGAGGCCGGGGCGATGCGTACGAGTGGCGGCAACGGCCGCAGAAGAAGTGGCCAGCAGTGGGCTCCTGCTGGGCGGGGCTGTCGGTGCCCCCGCCGTGAGTCAAGTCAATAATTAGAACCCTCCAAAAAGAAGGCCTAGCCGTATTTTCAGGGGTCAAAAGAAAATAAGACCCGGTAGTCCTGGGATTTATGGCCGCCACAATCGACCGCCAAATTTTAGTTGCTAAGGGAGACAGCATGAATTTTGCTCCATTTTACGATCTTTCTTGCCCGTTAAGGGAATCACTGCAGCTATGTTAGCAATACGGTTGCGGAGTAAGACGATTAGCTTGAAATCCTCGTTGGCGTTGGCGGTCCGAAGATCGCAAAAGGGGATCACATGACTCCGGGACACTGAGACCGTCGTAAATATGAAACAGTTGCCAAATGTCGGAGTTTTGTGTAGGCACGAACACAAATGTATATACATTGGGGATGGGGAGGAACCAAGACGACTTCAAAATAAAAGCCATCCACATGGGCCTGAAGGGATATCGATGATTATCTATGATTATGATTTATCCCTTGTTACAGTACTTGTATGTTGAGAGCTTATGCACCAGAGACAAATTCCTCCAATCACACAGCAGTGGTGTGTCTTATCCGGTACTACAATGAAGAAGAGCACGCGCGGCCCCGTTGCAAACCAGTAGTAAAGTAGAACCCACCCCTGATACAGATGTAAGAGTGGCTAACAGTATTAAGTATCTAGGGGTGCAGATAACTAACACTCTGAACTGGTCACTCCACATGTCGTCCTTAGTGAAGCGTGCAAACCTGCATCTGCATTTCCTGCGTTGGATGAAGAGAGCATGTCTTTCTCCTTCTGTCCTGGCCAATGTTTAGAGGCACGATGGAGCACGTTTTAACAAATGGCATCACTGTTTGCTTTGGTGGCAGCAGTGCCTCAGATAGAAAGTCCCTACAGAGAGTGGTGAGGACAGTGGAGAAAATTATAGGAAGCTCGTTTCCCGTTGTTCGTGATGCTGCTTACAAGCACTATGTGCTCGAAGTATTGTTAGAGACTCCAACATCCACTTTGTGGTCTGTTTCTGTTGCTCCCCTCTGGGAGGAGGTTTCGAAGTATTTCTAGGACTACCAGATTCTGGAACAACTTTGTTCCTTATGCCATCTGTCTGGTAAACTCTCAAGATTCGTTTCTCTCGCCATGTACATGAATACATCCGAACTAGTGTTGTTTCTCTGTGTCATATATGTGGGTATATGCATACATTTGTATTTATTTATTTTTTTGTCATGTTTTATGTAGTGTATATTGGAGGTGGGGACCCTTTGACAGCTGCATGCAACGAAATTTCATTTTAATTAAATTTTAATGAATTTAATAATTCATTATGCTGATTAGTGTACATTCAGAGTGACAATAGTTATTCTAATTTTTACTGATAAAGAATAAATTTTTTTTTAAAGAGGGCCATAAAATGGCCAGGTCCGATCTTAATTTTAAGCATACATTAACTGAATCTTGTGATTTTGATCTTCCTTCCGTCTCCCAAGCTCACTCGCACATACCCTTATGTATGTGGTCCTCGACTTACAACCACAACCGAGCCTCAAATTTTGTTGCTAAATGTGAATTTTCCCCCTTTTTACCAACTTTCTTACCCCGGTTGTTAAGTGAATTGCTCTGCAGTGGTTTAAGAATACAGTTGTCCAGTGAATCTGTCTTTCCCGTTGACGTCGCTGGTCCGAAGATCGCAAAAGGGGATCACGTGACTCCAGGACGCTACAACCGTCATAAATATGAATCAATGGCCAAGCGTCTGCATTTTGATCATGTGACCGTGGGAATGCTGTGAAAAAGACTCAAGTCCCTTTTTTTCCCCAGTGCCGTTGTAACTTGGAACGGTCACTAAGTGAACTGTCATAAGTCGAGGACTACTTGTGCAAGTCCTCTGGTTTCTAAAGCGACGTGGCACGCCCGCCTTCAGCCAAATTTAGCGGCCCCCGAGAACGCGCTGGAAATAAAGAGACTCACCAGGCTCTTGGGTTTCAAGTTAAATATATTTGCAAGAGGGAGAACAGAGAACAAAGATACGGTCAGCTCCCCCCTTCTCTACACAGAGGCTTGGCCTGCCCCACCCCCACCCCCCCAAGGATCATGGGATGGTTTACATACGTGATTTCACATTAACACGTGTCTACGGTTTTACATTCACAGGGAGACACCCGCCGAGGTAGCCTGAGCGGCCTCAGCAATCTGGAACACAGCTCACAATGTTTTAAATGTGTTCGGAGCCAAGATTTTATTCGCGTCTACTTCGGTACGAGGAGCATTTTTTTACAGGGGTGTTCACGTAGGACGGAGACACAGAACACACAGGCGGGAAACGCAGGAGTCCTTCTAGATGCCCTCTAGGAACCCCCTTCCTGGTTTCAACGTTGGCTGGCCTTCGCAAGGAAAAAAACAACAACAACAAACCCTTCGGGCCGCACGATCTGCCAGTTTTATCCTCCGTTCGCTGGATTTTCACGTCCTCCCCGGAATGGGTCACGAAAGAGCCACACGGGTGGCGACTACAGGAACCATGGTGCTGGGAAAAGGCCTACGAGCTTGGTAGGGCACGACTGTTTCGGGAGCTTCCCATTTGGTAAAAACAAGGATTTCCAAGGCTGTTAACACGGACGTTTTATTGCAAACTAGGTAACATCATCAGTGCTAGAAGGAAGTGGGGTTTGCGGGGAGGACGGTGGGGTCCTTGGCGCACTCTTGAGTTGGGTGGTTTTTCTTGCAGGCGTTTCATGACCCAAATAGGCTATATCATCAGTGTAAGGGAGTGTGGGGTTTTATCCTCATCGTCTTGCTCTTTCAGTGTTGGTGGGAGGGTTCTTGGCGTTCCCTTAATTGAGCTGCTGTTTATGGTGTGATGTTAACCTCTTGTTTATCGGGGGAGCTGACTGGTCTTTTGGTCTTATTTCCTTTTTAGGGTTTTAATTAATTTAATTTAATTTAAAATTGTTTAATTTAATTCTCTTTTGAACGGCGTGTAAACGTGGTTCGCCTCTATGTGTCTGTTGATGGCTGGTTTTTCTGAGGGTCAGGCCTCCAGAAATTCCCTGTCCTTTTACAAAGCTAGGAAGGTGGGTGGAAGCTAAACAGATAATACTGTTATAAAACACTGATCATGTTACCTAGTTGGGTCATGAAACGTCTGCAAGGTCAGAGGGCACTAAGGACCTCACAGTCCTCCTCCTCCTTTCCTCCCTCCCAGCACTGATGATGTTACCAAGTGGGATCGTGAAATGTCTGCAAAAAATACCACCAAGCTCAGAGAGCACCCAGGACCTCCTCCCACAGGCCTTGCTCCTCCTCCCTGCAACCTCCCTCCCCTCTAGCACTGATGATGTTACCTAGTTGGGTCACGAGACGTCTGCAAGGCAAACCCCAAGCTCAGAGAGCACAATTCACCCGGGCTTCGGACCCCTGCCTAAAATGGCCTCTTCGTACATCAACATTTTCAGTGCTTCTAACCAGCCGTAGATTGGAACTGAAAAACCATGCAGGGACACCCCACCCCACTCCAAGGAACAAAAATTGTGATGTTGGTTTCAGCCATGAGGGTATTTAATTGCAAAGAACAAACCAGCATAGAAAAAGAAATTTGGCCTGATTTTTTTTTTTTTTTTAAACAGAAACTACACCACCTGGATGGCTCCCACCCCCCCCCCCCCCCCCCGTCCACTCTTTCTTACGCAACCTATTAAACATCAGGGGAAGGATGGTATTTGTGTATGTGAAGATTTGTACATTTCCTCCACCCCCCGCGCCCCCCAACCGGGAAATCTTGTTTATTTTACCCAATTGTTTTGACTTCCCTAGCTCGATTCCTGGCTTCGTTCAAGGACAGCCGTTAACAATTGTGCAGCAAATTGTTAAGTTTGCCTTGTTAGCAGCAAAACTGAAAGGAAAACCCAATGAATGCAAAACATAAAATTTAGAGTTTCAGGAGTTTTTTTTTTCCTCTCCCCCCATCCCACCCCCCCACTTCCTTCTGCAGTGGATCGAATCAGAAACCAGATACTTGGGTTGAGATAAGTCAACCAGAATTAAATCAGAATTACAGGGACAGGGAATTCATTTCTGTGCCAATCAAACATAGAAGTTTCTGGTTGCAAGTTGTGCGGTTTTGTTAAGAGAACCAGATCCAATGAATTCCTGAGCCTACCACAAAATGATTTCTGATAATATATATATATATATATATATTATATATATATTTCTTCTAGCCAGGTTTTCCCTACGTAACCAAGGTTTTTATACATATACATATACATATACATATACATATTATATATGTATATGTATATATATATATATATATATATAGATATACATATATATATATATTTTCCCCCTTTCCAAATTCAGGATGGATACTTTAGCTGGCAGACTTGCGTCTGAATGAGACACAGCAAGGCTGAGTAAAATATAGGCAGTCCTTGACTTACAACAGTCTGCTTAGTGACTGTTCGAAGTTACAACGGGGACTGAAAAACTGACTTTCGACCAATATTCACACTTCAGCCTCCCCACAGTCACGAAATCAAAATTCAGACTTTGGACAACTGACTCGTATTTATGACGGTTGCAGTGTCCCAGGGTCACCCTTTTGTGATCTTCTGACGAGCAAAGTGAACGGGGAAGCCAGATTCACTTAATGACCATTTCAGTTAATGACCAGATTCACTTAACAACTGCAGCAATCCGCTTAACAAATGTGGCAAGAAAATAGGGCACACTTCAATCAATTCCTCACTTAGCCACATAAAATTCTGGACTCAATGGTAAGTCGAGGACTACCCGTATTGAGTTCGTTCCCAAAACTGCACTGAGATTGCTAACGCTCGGGAAACGAAGCGGTTGCTTTAAAGAGCCACAGTGCTACATTCAGCTTCTGAAGCAGATTAGAGTTAAATTTCAAACCACAACCTTGGTTTTGCAAGATGTTCGGGGAATCGTGATCTTCAGAAGGCTTACTTTTTTGGGATGCAAGCTTCATCTCGGCTTGTTGTTACGCCCGAGCTGAACGCTACCTCCGAAGGTGAACGATGGGGAACCTATCCTGAATTTTGACTGTAAGCAAGGAAGTTGCAAATCAAAACCAATTTTCCAAACTCGGGGTGTTCGTGATAAACCCAGATGGTCCCTACACAGGCCATATCGTTAGGTACTTATGGGAGGTGTGGTCCATCCCGAAGGTTGGGGACCATGTTAGAGAAGGCTGTTTGTCGAACCGTGCCAACTTCCTCGGGAGGTCCTGCCACAAGTGGGTGAGGAAACGGCGGAATGTGCTAGAAATCCATACGTTTATCCCAAACTATGGTATGATATGCTGGTCAGGGTGGCGGGGTACCAGATGCACTTAAACAAAAGTTATTTTGCTTGCCATTGTAGTGTTTTTCACATTCAGAGGGGGAGGAAGGTCCCTCAGCCTTCTCAGGGGGAGGAGGAGGAGGAAAAGAGAAAAAGGAAGGAGAAGGAGGAGGAGGAAGAGAGAAGGGGAAGAAAGAAAAAGGAGAAGGGGAAGGAGGGAGGAAGAGGAGGAAAAGAAGAAGAAAGAAGGGGAAAGAGAAGAAAGAGGAGGAGGAGGAGGAGGAAGAGAGAAGGGGAAGATAGAAAAAAGGGAAGGGGAAGAAGAGGAGGAGGAAAAGAAGAAGGAAGGAGAAGGAGGAGAAGGAAAAGAAGAAGGAAAGAGAAGGAGGAGGAGGAAGAAGAGAAAAGGGGAAGATAGAAAAAGGGGAAGGGGAAGAAGAGGAGGAGGAAAAGTAGAAGGAAGAAGGCGAAAGAGAAGAAAGAAAGAGGAGGAGGAGGAAGAAAGAAGGAGGCAGGAAGAAGAAGGAAGAAAAGGAAAAGGGGAAGAGGAGGAGGAAGAGGAAGAGAGAAGCTGAAGGAAGGAGAAGAAAGCGAAGGAGAAAGAGAATGAGGAGGAGGAGAAGGGAGAAGAAGAAGGAGGGAAAAGGAGAAGGAGGAGAAAAGACTGAATTGATCAGTACTAACAATACTTTTGATTTTTCTCCTCTTCCTCCTCCCCATCTTTTCTCACCCGCCACCCCTCCCTCCTACATAACCACAAAGCCTGAGGCAACAACCACAACATTTGGCCGAGGGGCAGCAGCTTTCCTTTATCACACGCCCCCCCCCCAACTCTTTGTACTGACCCAATTCCGTGGGATCTCAAGAATCCCCACCCCCGTTGACAGCCCATGGAGGGGTGTGTGTGTGTGTGTGTGTGTGTGTGTGTGTGTGTGTAGGGGGGGTGGGGAAAGGGGGCCACACCTCAAGCACACCTTGAAACAATGTTCCCCCTCAGCTCGGCCCCTCCCACGGTTTTTGCATGCAATGCACGTGGCACCCCCGGCCTGTCCCCTCAAATGGCCATCAGTGGGACGCAGCCCACCCCCACCCCTCCCTCGTGGCACACCATGGGCGCCACGAACGTCCAGCGATTGCTTTCCGGGTCGTACATTTCTACCGAGCTGAGGTTGGACTGTCCGTCGTAGCCGCCCACGGCGTACAAGCGGCCGCCGGTGGTGACCAGGGAGACGCGGCTACGCCGGGTGTTCATGGGCACCAGAAGGTACCACTGATCGGAGGCCGAATTGTAGACCTCGGCGACACTGAGGAAGGCTGAGCCGTCGTAGCCGCCGCAGACGAAGAGTTTGCTGCCCAGGGAGGCCGCCCCGTGCCGACAACGCTTGTTCGACATGCTGGCCACGCTGTGCCACGAGGCGGTGTGGGGGTTGTAGTATTCCACCTGGAGGCAGGGACAAAACCACGCGTCAGCAGATGGGCAGATGGACGGGGCAGAGGTCAGGGAGGGGGATCGACTTCCAGAAAGGACACGCGGCTATTTGGAGAGGCAACAAGGCCTCAGAGGCAGATTTGAAAGAGAAAGAGAGAGAAAGAGAGAGATCGAATTCTTCAGGCATTTATACCCTGACTTTGTTATTAATAAATAATTGGGAATGGCGAGCATCTTATAATTTATGGAGCCTTTTGTCTCCTATTTTCCCTAAAACAACAACCCTGCGAGTTGACGGGCTGTCTCAGCCCAACCCAGCTAGCTTACGTGTCAAAGGTATTCCCAGTCGCCAGGTAATTGGCCCAACTGGATTTCGTGGCTAACGTAGGACTAGAATTCACTTTCTCCTGGGGATTGGCCTGAAGTCACCCAGTGGCTTTTATGCCTAAAGTGGGATTAGAACTCACCGTCTCCCGGTGACTGGCCCAAAGTCACCCAGCCGGCTTTCATACCTAAAACAGGACTAGAACTCACCGTCTCCTGCTGATTGGCCCAAAGTCACTCAGCGGCTTTCGCGCCTAAGGCGAGACTAGAAATCCCCCGTTTATAACTAACCCCTAAATAAACAGTAAATAACAAAATAATAAGTTACACTGCTTGAAAAAAAATAATAATAAGTTAACAGCTTCAGAGTTCTGCTCCAGTTCTTCCTTTGGAGAAATGCTGGTTTTTAACCGAATAACTGAATCGGAAGGGACCTTGGAGGACATCTAGTCCAACCCCCTGCTCAGGAGGAGACCTTGTCCCATGTCAGACGAACGGATGTCAAATCTCTTCCTAAAAATCTCCAATGTTGGCGCATTCACAACTTCTGGAGGCACTGGTTATTAGGGACGGGCCAGAAATAAACTACAGTCCAAAAAAAAACCAGACTTACGCTATTGAAGATTTGCAAGCCATCATGTCCGCCGGAGACGAAGATGCGGCCTTCGAAGACCGTGACGCCGGCCGCGCTGCGATTGGAGCTCATAGGTGTCACCGACGTCCACCTTCACAAGGTCAGCAAAGGAGAGGGGGAAGTTGCGGTAGTGGCACACACATCTCTCAAATGGCATTCAGGGATACTCACTTGTCTGTCTCGGGCGAGTAGGCCTCCACCGAGTTCAGGGAGGAGGTTCCGTCGTAGCCCCCACAAACATAGATCTGTCCGTCCAGGACTACAGTTCCCATCGCACTGAAACGGGGCAGAAACCGGAGATTTCAGAATGACCAACTTTAATAGCACACTTTAAAGAACTGTGGCTCAACCATCGTGTCTTTAAGAGGGGAGCACTACAACTCCCAGAATCCCCCAGCCAGCATGCTTTAAGAGGGGAGCACTACAACTCCCAGAATCCCCCAGCCAGCATGCTTTAAGAGGGGAGCACTACAACTCCCAGAATCCCCCAGCCAGCATGCTTTAAGAGGGGAGCACTACAACTCCCAGAATCCCCCAGTCAGGATGCTTTAAGAGGGGAGCACTACAACTCCCAGAATCCCCCAGCCAGCATGCTTTAAGAGGGGAGCACTACAACTCCCAGAATCCCCCAGCCAGCATGCTTCAAGAGGAGAGCACTACAACTCCCAGAATCCCCCAGCCAGCATGCTTTAAGAGGAGAGAACTACAACTCCCAGAATCCCCCAGCCAGCGTGGTTGGGGACCCTTCCTGACCAGTGGGAAGCCCACCCCACACGCACCTCCGTTTGCTGTTCATGCTGCCCGCTCTGGACCACGAATCGGTCTCGGGGTTGTACACCTCCACGGTGCTCAGCCGCCACTGCCCGTCGTATCCGCCAATGGCGTACAAGAGCCCATTCACCACGGCCACGCCCACCCGGCTGCGGGCCGTGGTCATTGGCTGGCACTTCTCCCAGTGGTTGGCTACGGGGTCGAAGACTTCCACCACGTTCAGAGAGTCGCCTGCGTAGAAATTTGCTGCTGACATTTTAAAAAGCGATCGGCAAAACTGACCGTTTGCGTGCGGCCACTCTTAACTCTCTAAACTAAGAATGCGTTACAGGTAGTCCTCGACTTACGACCATAACCGATTCCAAAGATTTTCACTGTTGAGCAAGACAGCTAAGTGAGTTGTCTCATTTTACGAATTTTCTTGCCTTAGTTGTTAAGTGAATCACTGCGGTTGTTAATTTAGTACAGGCATGAAAGCCGGCTGGGTGACTTGGGGCCAATCACCAGGAGACGGTGAGTTCTAGTCCTAAGTTTTTGCCCAAAACCCAACATTTAATTCCAGGTCTTGTCAAAAACACAAAAACGATCCATTAAAGTTTCTTCGATTACTGCAGCATTCACTTCATTACAGCAGATTCACTCAACAGTCATGGTGACTCACTTAGTGACCGCTGCATTTAAAAAAAAAAAAATTATAACAACTCGGATCGATTCAGGGAGGAGCTGCTTTAGGGACGTCATGATAAAAGTTTTTTAATGGTCGTAAATTGAGGATCACCTGTCTGGACCTCGAGTGGTGACGGAATTGAAATTTACCTGCTGAATTGAGCCCTCCCACGGCGTAAATCAAACCCGCGATGGACGTACAGCAACGGGGCCGCGTCTTGAAAGCGAGGAGAGGTCGCCGACGCTCGGGCATGAGGTGGTAGTCTTTGGCTTCATCCACGAGGTCCCTAAAGCAGAATAACAGTTGGAAGGGACCTCGGAGGTCATCTAGTCCAGCCCCCTGCCCAAGCAAAAAGACCCTTACAGAATCATAGAATGTTAGAGATGGAAGGGACCTCAGAGGTCATCTAGTCCAACCCCGCTGCTCGAGCAAGAGACCCTACCCCATTTCAGACAACTGGCTGTCCAATGTTTTTCTTGACAACCTTCAGTGACGGAGCCACTGAAAAAAGCTGAGCCAAACTGAGGAATACAATTCTTGTGCTGCCTTTCACAAAACCTTATACTCAGGGGGAACCCTTGAGATCATCAAGGCCAGCCTTCATTCCGTGCAGAAATAGGATTAAAACACCCACGATTACGGGTGCCTCCTGATTTAAAATCAAGAGATGCCAATTTAGAAAGACCAGCCTTTAATTCGATACGAAATGATTGTCTTTTTTATATTTGCATTTCTGTGTGCGAATATACCATAGACTACGTAGTAAACCTACATACTATGTAGTATATACTATACTGTATAACATATACAAAATGTTTCCGTCTTCCGTATTCTTCGCCTTGAAATAATTTCTTAAAAGCATCCAGATCGTGCTCTGTTTTGCATTTTTAAAGATTGTTGGCTTTATTACGGAGGGATTTTATTTATTTATGGATTTTATTTATTTTGTTGTCAGAAGGAAGCGCGGTGGTGAATAATAATAAGAACCAGATTGCCATAAGGAGCACAGCAGGAGCGAGTAACGCCGAATGCTGAATACATTAGCTTTTTAAATCAAAGCAACTGAATTATTTATCCCCTGTTAATAATTGCGAGATTTCCAGCAGAGCGCTACGGGGAATTTTCACCGAGAGACCGAAAGGGAAACTGAGGCGCCCGATTCCTGCTGGATGAACCACAGAACCCTCAAAGCAAATGAAAGGCCAAGAGGTTTGCAAAACGGAAAGAAATCCGTTCGCGTTCCCATCAGTTTCGTTTTCAGAATTGCACCCGGTTGTAAAAAGCCTAATACTAAATAGATGCAAACCTGGAGTTATTTGTAAAAAATACAGGTTAGTCCTGGACTTACGACCACCATGGAGCCCAAAATTTCCATTGCTAAGCCAGACGGCTGTGAAGTGAGTTTTGCCCCCAATATGCAACCTTCCTCGCCACAGTTGTTAAGCGAATTACAACAACCATTAAGTTAGTGACACGGTTGTTAAGTGAATCTGGGTTCCCCTTTGATTTTGCTTGTCAGGTGGTCGCAAAAGGGGATCATGTGACACCCCCGGGACACGGCGACCGTTCGAAGTTACAACAGCCGTAAAAAAAAATGTGATTTATGAACATTTTGCAGATTTATGACTGTCGCAGCATCCCTGTGGCCACCTGATCAAAACTCAAGACGCTTGGCCACTGACTTGTACTTATGACGGTCGCAGTGTCCCCGGGGGGGGGGTGTCACACGATCCCCTTTTGTGACCTTCTGATGAGCAAAGTCATGGGGGAAACCCAGATTCACTTAACAACCATGTGACTAACTCAACCAACTGCAGGGATTCACTTCACAAGAGTTATGGCCAGAAAGGTCATAAAATGAGGCAAAACTCAAATAGCAACTTTCTTCCTCAGTGACGGAAATTTGTGGTCATAAGTCAAGGACTACTTGTATGCTGTACTTGGCAGAATAGTAGCACAACCATAAGATCCTTCCTTCCCTCCCTCCCCTCCTTTTCTACTTTCTCCTCTCCCTCCCTCCCTTCATCTTCCTGCTCTCCCTCCCTTTAACCCTCCTGCTTTCCTTTCCTTCTTCCCTCTTCTTTTTCCTCCCTCCCTTCCCTCCCTCCGTCATCCCTCTCCTTCCTATCTTCCTTTCTCTCCTCTCCTCCCTCCCTTTTCTTCACCCTCATGCTCTACCCTCCCTCTTTCTTTTAACTCTCCTGCTTTCCTTTCCTTCTTCCTCATTTTTGCTCCCTTCCTTCCTTCCCTCCCTCCATTATCCCTTCCTTCCTATCTTCCTTTCTCCTCTCCCTCCCTCCCTCTCTTTCATCACCCTCCTGCTTCCTCTCCTTCTTCCCTTTTTTCTCCCTTGCTCCCTTCCTTCCCTCCCTCTTCCTTCCTATCTTCCTTTCTCCTCTCTCCCTCCCTCCCTCTTCTTTGCTCTCCCTCCCTCCTTTCCTCTCCTCCTCCTCTTTTTCCTCCCTTCCTTCCCTCCCTCCATCATCCCCCTTCCTTCCTATCTCCCTGCCTCCTTTCCTCCCTTTCTCCCTCCCTCCCTTCACGTAACTGCCCATCTCACATTGTGACCAGTGTACCACAAAACTCGAGGCAAACTCCTGTTTGTGTGAGTGAGTGAGTGTGTGTTTGTGTGTTTGTGTGTTCTGAAGCCCTCCAACCAGATCTTTCCTTCTCCTCCTTCCTCCACCTTCTCCCTCTCAGCTCACCTGCACTTGTGGCAGCTGCGGACGAGGTCATCTTGCTGCACACGGTCAGTCAGGAACTGTGGCCGGCAGAGGGGCAGCCGGATTCTGGACAGGAGCTCCGGCAGGCAGGCCTCCCGCTGTTCACGGTCGTACCTGACCCAGGCCAGGGCGGCTTCGTAGACCTGGCAGGAGAGAGACAGAAAGAGAGAGAGCGGGGAGCTCATCATACAGGTGAGCAGCTTCCCGGACAGGGAATGCTCTGCGCAGGAAACCCCGGACGCCCCCCCAGTTTTGATCTCAGCACAGGTTAAGTCCTCGTCTTACGACCACGATTCAGACCAAAATTTATGTCGCTCAGGGAAACGTGTGTTACGTGAGGTTTTTTTTGCCAACTTTCTTGCTGCAGTTGTTAAGTGGATCACGGGGGTTGTTAAGTGAACAGCCTGGTTGTTAAGTGAATCTGGCTTCCCCGTTGACATTGCTTGTCAGGAGGTCGCAAAGGGGGAATCACGTGACCCCAGCACACTGCGGCCGCCGTAAATATGAGCCAGTTGCCAAGCATTCTTAATTTTGATCATGTGACCATAGCGATGCTGTAATGGTCATAAGTGTGAAAAATGGTCGTAACTTTTTTCAGCGCCGGTGTAACTTTGAATGGCCACTAAATGAACTGTTGTAAATCGAGACTATCTGTACAGTATGTATGCCTGTCTTGCCACCTCCATGGTCCCGTCGTAAAACACAGGTAGTCCTCGACTTACAACAGTTCGTTTAGTGGCCATTCAAAGTTACAACAGCACTGAAAAAATTTACAACGGTCGTTTTTTTCACACTTACGATGAGTTTTACCTTTCCTTTCCTGGTGCATATAATTAATTATCGCACAACACCTTGGGTCCTCCTTCTGTTTTCCCACCATCTGGACTTAATCCAAGGTTTATAAAAGCAATTAGGAATCAGTTCCTCTTTGATTTCCTGCTGGCTTTGTTTCTTCTCCTTTCCCTTCTTCTTCTCCAAAATCCAGGTAGTCCTTGACTTACAACCTCAACGCAGCCCGAAATTTCTGTTGCTGAGCAACACACCTGTTCAGTGAGTTTTGCCTCAGTTTACGACCTTTCAGGTCACGGCTGTTAAGGGAATCGCTATGGTTGTTGAGTTAGTCATGTGGTCACTAAGTGAATTGGGACTCCTGCTTTTCATAAATATGAGTCAGTTCCAAGCGCCTGAATTTTGAGAACGTGACCACGGGGGGTGCAACAACGGTCATAAGTGTGAGAAAGGGTCCTAAGTTACATTTTTTCAGTGCTGCCGCTGTTGTAACTTCGGTCACTAAATGAGGGGTTGTAAGTTGAGGACTAAATGCAAATCTTGTGCCAGGGGCATTCTGATGTCCTCAGGAATCCTGACTTTTCCAGAACCTCTGAAAATGGACTTCAACAGATCCTCCAGATCTGTTTGTCAACCGAGGTCCCTTTAAGAAATCAGGACTTCAACTCCCAGGATTCCCCAGCTGGCATCCTTTATACTGAATGTGGAATTCTGGGAGTTGAAGTCCTGACTTCTTAAAGGGACCACGGTCGACAAACACTCATCTAGATCTTTTGTGATCCTGTTGATTCCCAAGATGAGAAGTGAGTTACACTTCTGTCCGGTGCCTATTAGCTTCTGAGGCTTCTTTAACCGACAGGAAGTCCTCGACTTACGACCACAATCGATCCCAGCGCTTCCGTTACAAAGAGAAGACAGTGGTTAAGTGCCTTATTTGACCACCTTTCTCGTCACAGTCGTTGAGTGAATCGCTGCAGTCGTTAAAAGTTAAGTCACATGGCGGTTAAGTGAATCCGGCTCCCTCACTGACTTTGCTTGGTCAAGATGATCGCATGATTCCCCGGGATGCTGCGATGGTCATAAATACGTGTCAGTTTGCCAATCGTCTGAATTTTAATCACGTGACAGCGGGAAATGCCGCGTTGGTCATAAGTGTGAAAAAACTGGCCCTAAGTCCCTTTTTCCAGTGCCGTTGTAACTTTGACTGGCCGCTCGAGGAATGGTTGTGAATCAAGGACTGCCTGTAGTTATAGTTAGTTGCGTAGTTTGAGGGGTCTCCAACCTTGGCAACTTTAAGCCTGGAGGACTTCAACTCCCAGAATCCCCCAGCTTTGCTGGCTGGGGGATTCTGGGAGTTGAAGTCCTCCAGGCTTAAAGTTGCCAAGGTTGGAGACCCCTGGTGTAGTTGGCTTTAAAAAAAAAAAAAAACAAGTGGTGGGGAGGAACGAAAACCCGAAGCGTATTTCAGGGTCTGGGAGGGTCTCACCTGCTCCTCCAACTTCACGTGGAGTTCATCCCTGGAGGTCAGCTCCAGGACATCGTCGTAAGGCAGAGCCAAGAATTCCTCCGACATGGAGACCTCCACGAAGTGCTGGTGGACGAAGCTGTTGGCCGCGTCGTACAGGACGGCGCACATCATAGTCTCCGCAAACTGGCGCACGCCCAAGCAGTTCTTGGGGTGAAGCCTTCAGACAGCACAGCGAGAAGAAAGAGAGAAAGAGAGAGAGGGGGAGAGAGGGAGAGGGGAGAGAGAGAAGTGAGCGGGAAACATCTGGCCCAGTCGTGTTTTTTGTGTGTATGTGACCACCAAATCGTCTTGCGCAGTGGGTATTTGCAGGTTAATTCTCCTCTAAGCCCTATCTGGGGATTGGCCTATCGTTTATTCCTAAAGGGGCACCGACATTAGTGGGGTCCCGGGTGGAAACGTCACAGCAGCAAAAAATATCCTTTTGGTGGGGTGAGATTTCCTCTTGGCCTCCTTTCCCAAAGGAGCTGTCCCTGGGATGAGCTGTTTCCCAGAGAAGCAAAGGCTGCCATCTGCTGGGATAATGCAGTGTGACGTGCGAATGGCCTTGGGGGAAGGAGGGGAAAAGGATGAGGAAACGATTAGATAAGGGAGGCAGGAGCACCCCAGTCGCTTAACAGTCAGAAGAAGCAGCTAAATTAGGACAGATCTTAATGGATCAACTAGATAACGGGGGCAGCGGCTCCCAACTCCTGGGAATCTCAAATTCCTCGTTTGATCTCTTCCTGGGCAGAGCAGAGTGGCTGGCACAAATCCCTTCGTCCTAAAGTTGCGTTTGGGGAACACAATTGTGGCAACACTGTTTCGCCAAAAACCATCATTTCCATCCAGTTTTCGGCAAACCGATGATCTGTTTAATAACCACTATGAAAAGGTCGCAAAATCTAACAGGCCTGCTTTACGACCGCCACAACCGTAGACTCTATGAGCGTCGTAACTCGAGGGCCGCCAGCAATGTAAATTCCCTTGATATTTCTGGTCCCAGGAGGTTGGAAATTCAAAAATAAGACTGGACCAAGGTGGTACATATAAATTCTTCTACCTGGACCTCCAAGGTATCTTACAGCCCTAGAATTCTACCTCCAGATTTTTTTTCCCATCTGCACTCACCTCTCTTTGAGGAAGGAGCAACAGGCGTCCTTAATGTTCTGCAGCTGCAGGAAACTAGCTCCCATCAAGAGGGACTGGACATTTTGCTGGTCTATGGCCAAATGCCCGTTGTAGGCAAAGTTGATCAGAGCTTCCAGTGCGCTAAAATGGGGCAAAGAAGAGCCGATAGTTATGTCTACTGATTAATCAGATTCGTTTAAATGACCGCTTCATGGAAAGTGACTCGGAGCAGTGCGCAAATACCCGGTTTTAGTAACCCAAGCCATCTACAATACATCGCTACGTAATTCAGAATTCTTGATTCAAATGGGAGGCCCTTGCAGATTCTAGATCTTCGTCACATCATGCTTCTGGTCCTCAAGAAGGTAAATATAAATTAGAAAACCACCATTTCTCCTTTGAAACTGATACCCCAGAAAGGTGGCAGTCAAACATCTTTTCTAATTGCCAGTTGCCTCTTACATAAGAAATTCAGAGAGGAGGAGGAGGAGAGGAGGAGGAGGAGGAGGAGGAGGAGGAGGAGGAGGAGGAGGAGAGGAGGAGGAGGAGGAGGATAGAAAGCTTGGGTGTTCTCTTGCGAATAGAATAGAATAGAATAGAATAGGATAGGATAGGATAGGATAGGATAGGATAGGATAGGATAGGATAGGATAGGATAGGAATAGGAATAGAATAGTACACTAATCAGCATGCATTAAAATGAAATTTCATTTCATACAGTTCTCAAAGGTCACCACCTTCAATATACACTAAATAAACATGACTAAATAAATAAACAAATATACAAAATTTGTTGGCACAGCGGACTAAAAACTGCTGTTAAAGTAGCACTTAGCTGCCAGCTGCCTGCAATTACTGCAAGTTCAAATCTCACCAGGCTCAAGGTTGACTCAGCCTTCCATCCTTCCGAGGTAGGTAAAATGAGGACCCGGATTGTGGGGGCAATAAGCTGACTTTGTATAAAAAAAAGAACACTGCTTGGGGGGGCCGAAAAGCCCTACTAAGCAGGTATATACAAAAGTATGAAGGCTGTTGCTTAACGCATTGTAAGCCGCCCTGAGTCTCCGGAGAAGGGCGGCATCTAAATCGAACTAATAAATAAATTAAATAAATAAATAAAATTATGTACATACCCACTTATATGACACAGAGAAACAACACAGTGTAATTCAGATGTGTACATGGCGAGAAAAACGAATCTTACCAGACGGATGGCGTAGAGAACAAAGACGTTTCATGACCGAATTAGTCAACATCATCCGTGATAGAAGCAAACCATGCTCCCTTCTAGCACTGATGATGTTCCCTAGGTAGGTCATGAAACGTCTGCAAGAAAACCACCCAGCTCGGAGAGCACCAAGCACCCCACAATAAAATAGATTTGCCTCAACCCAAGGGGGTGAGGGGGGGAGAATGGGGGAAATGTCCTCAGCCCCCAACCCACCGCTTTACCTCGGATCCATGCCCTGCATGACGATTTCATCCTGCTTGCATTCCATCATGTCATTCGTGAACATGGCGTGGAAGTAAGGGATGGAGGCCGCCAGGACGATGCGGTGGGCGCTGAATTTGTGGTCTCCCACCTAAACAGGAACAGAAGCAGACAGGAATCAATTCTTCGACTCGCAGCTAGGAAGGGGTCTCGTTTCGTCTGCAAGCTCTTCCAGTTTTTCCGTTTCTTTTAATTATAAAATGAAAGACACTCTCGAATCCAAATCAATTCATGGTGAATGAAAAAACGTTGGCAGGTCCATGTCGTTTTCTCTCTCTTTTTTTGGAAAAAATAAAAGATTGGTTTGCAATTTTGCTTTTTTTTTGTGCCTTCCCCCCCCCCACTTAATTTCTGTCTGGGTTTTTGGGCTGGGCTCTCTTCCAACTGCCGACCACGCCTGACCCAGTTTAGCTTGGGATGATCATCCAAAATGTTGTGGCTCCGTTGCCTGAGCCTGGGCTATCGACAGATGCAGACTCTGAGAGTGAGGGGGAGGAGTTGGCAAGGCCTCCCTCTCCAGGACCCTCCTCTCTGGCAATGCCTCCGGAGGACACCGAAGGCCAAACGATAGGCTCAGAGCCAAGCACGTCCCCGCAGCCACAGGTGGACAGCGACGAAGGAGATAAGTGCTGGCTGGACCCTCGGCAGAGGCGCAAGGAGAAGCATGCGCAGCAGAGGGGAAGGCGTGCCAGAGATTAGCTGAGTCACTGGACCACACCCCACAGGGTATAAATGTGGGTGTGGTGGCCAGTTCAGTTTGTGACGAGCAAAAACTGGAAATAATCCATGATCTCTGCGTTACTGGACTTTGCCTGCTTTATCGGACTGCATTTGGATTAATCCTTGTATTGTTGAAAACTCTGCCTGTTTTATCGGAATGCTGGCAGTCTAATCTTTGTTTTGTGTGAGTAAAGTCTGAATTGGCAGCTAGTCACTGGGTTGCTGCCAGCTTTATCTTCAAAGAGTTTTGTCGTGTGGCTTATTAACTCCGGGCCGTCTGTGGGGGTGCGTGTGGGGTATGGGGACAGAACACAGAATGCCAAGCATCTTCACTTTTGCTGGAGAAAAGATCGCTAGCCAGATTAAATCGCTTTCTCTAACCTGCCACCCTGTATTTGAGCTACATTTGGCTTATTTAACTCCAGTTTAAAGGAAGGTAAATACATTAAAAAAAAAAAAAAAAGCAATAACATTCGAAATGCAAAGGTTTGTAGCCGAGTTTACAATCTGGCTCAGTCACAGATACAAAAACCCTGACATATGTATACAGGTAGTCCCTGAATTGCAACTGTTTCATTTAATGACCATTCGAAGTTACAGAAGCACTGAAAAAAAATTATCTTATGACCGTTTTGCACACTGACGACCGTTGCAGCCTCCCCGTGGTCACATGATCACAATTTGGACGCTTGGCAACTGGCTCGTATTTATGACGGTCGCAGCGTGCCCAGGGTCACCCGAACCCCCTTTACGACCTTCTGACAAGCGAAGTCAATGCGGAAAGCCAGATTCACTTAACAACCGGGTGACTGGCTTAACGACCGCAGCGATTCACTGAACAACGGAGGCGAGAAAAGGTGTAAAATGGGTGCGAAAGAAATGTCTCACTTAGCATGATTTTTTGAGCTCAATTATGGTCGTAACTCGAGGACTATGGATAACTTGCCTTTTTTTTTTTCCCTCCCCTTCCCCAGTCAGTCTGATTAGCTGTACGTGGCCGAAAGAATAATTTATTCTGCAATAATTCTGATTTTTGTCTTGCAGGGATATGTCTGGTTTTACACGCTCCAGAATTGGCTTGTTTGTCACCTCTAGTATACTTTCATTATATTTTATTAAATCTACCCCTGGATTTTTGGCAAAAGCTGCTGCGGTGTCGTCTGCTCCTTCTCTCCTCTCAAGGGCAACACTTTGTACCAACACAAAATCACTTTTTCTAAGAAGGACCCCTTAGAGCTCATCTCAAGCTTTGGGGTTATTATATTAACGAAAGCAAAATTACATTGCCTGTTATGAGACAGTCACAGGCATAACTGTAGCTGCAATCGTGGCCATCCCTCTCGGGGGTCCTATGCCCCTGAGTTGCCCTGCACACCTCGTGGTGCAAACCAACACGGAGAAACTGCGATACCGGCTTGCCATGTCCTCTCTCCTTTGGAAGGAGAAAAGGAAGCGAGGCCAAGGGCCCCAGCGAGGCTCAGGCTGCGACACATCGCTCTAGGTTTTTCAACCGTGGGAAAGGGGGCGGGGGCTCACAGAAAAGACTCGGCAGTATCAACAGAAGAGAACATTTGCAGCTCAGGGTTGAACTTTGGGGTCCTTGGTGCTCTCTGAGCTGGGTGATTTCTTTGCAAACGTCTCACGACCCAACTAGGTAAGATTATCAGTGCTAGAAGTGTGTGTGTGTGGGGGGGGGTTTGCAGAGAGAAGGGCGACTGTGGGTTCTTTGTGCTGTCTGAGCTTAGTGGTTTTCTTGCAGACGTTTCATGACCCAACTAGGTAACATTATCAGTGCTGAGAGGAGAGGAGGAGGACTGCAGGGACCTTGCTGCTCTCTGAGCTGGGTGATTTTCTCGCAGACGTTTCATGACCTAACTAGGTAACATTATCAGTGTTAGAAAGGAGGAGGAGGAAGAGTTCTGGGGGCTCTCTGATCTTGGTGGTTTTCTTGCAGCCTAATCAAGGAACCACTAAGAACATTGACAGAGCAAGCCACTTGTTCATAAACAGAGAGCAAGCCCCACACTCCTTCTAGCACTGATGACGTTCCCTAGTTGGGCCATGAAATGTCTGCAAGTAAACCACCCAGCTCAGAGAGCAACAAGGACCTCACAGTCCTCCTCCTCCTCCATTTAACACTGATGACGTTCCCTAGTTGGGTCCTGAAACGTCTCCAGGAAACCTCCCAGCTCCGAGAGCACCCAAGGACTGCCCAATTCAACGATGACCTACAAACATTCTCCTAATCAAGATCGGTCACGTTTCCAGAGCAGCCGGCCTCTTCAGTTTCCTGAACCTAAAATGGGCTTCCGAAATCAGACGAATCTCTCCTGATTTTTATTCCCCCCCACACACACACACACCCCCGGGATCTACTGTGTCAAGCAGGCAATGCTCACCCAGGTAAAGAGCAAACGGGAATCCACCAGGAGCTATTTATTCCCGGAAAAACAAAAGATGTCTAAAATTGCCTGCTGAATCAGAATTACAGAATGTCCTCTCTCTCTCAAGGAGAAGTGGCCCCATTTAGTTCGGCCGGTCGTGATCTAAATAACAACAAAATGACATGCTGAGTGCACAACACAACCAAGAGCTGGTGTATGTGTGTGGCAGGGGCCTTATTAATGGGCGGGTGTGTGTGTGTGTGTGTGTAGAGAAATCTCTTTGGAGCATTGGCTGAAGCATCTGCGAAATGAGGTTGTTCTTCCCAGAAGACTGGATGAGCCTGGATAGCTCAGCAGACTAATGCATTGTAATTTAACTCCAGCTGCCTGCAATTACTGCAGGTTCGAATCTCGCCAGGCTCAGGGTCGACTCAGCCTTCCATCCTTTCAAAGGTGGGTAAAATGAGGACCCAGTTTGTGGGGGCAATAAGCTGACTTTGTATAAATACAAAAGGATGAAGGCTATTGCTTAACGCACTGTAAGCCGCCCTGAGTCTCCGAGAAGGGTGGCATATAAAAATAAATAAATAAATAATTTTTTTTTTAAAAAGGTGCTCTTTCTTCCAGCTCTACAAAAACGTCCCTTGCTCAGAGGCTGCAGTTCTTGGAGCAATCAGCCAGCCTGGCTGAGTCTTTGGCGAGAGGAGAGATCGTCACAATCTGGAACACTGGACACGGCCCAGCAAGGTTATTTTGTCAAGGCAAAGTATCTGGGCCAGAGGAATCCGTGGGAACGGATGTCCGAAAAGGGGACCACACAAGGAGAGGCAGTTTGGCCTGAGGGGTGCTTGGCCCAGATACTCCCTGAACTCAGCCCATCTCACAGGCCTGTTGTTGTGGGGAAAAGAGAAGAAGGAAGCGTTAGGTATGTTCTCCGCCTTGAGCAGACCAAAATATATAAAAACAGGTGGGATAAACTCGTCAGAGGCAGGAGCAGCAAGGCACCTGAAAAAGAACTGGATGACTCACGAGGAACCAAAAACATTGTGCAACTGCCAAAAAAACTAAGTAGCATCCCTGTTAGCATGAGAAATATAACTCCTCTTCACACCCTGAACATCAGCACCAGTTCTTGGAAATGCGTCTTAGAAAAAAGAGGACATTGAACAAAGAGGTGTCTAGTCAGAAATTAGGTATTTTTAGCCTGGAGAAAAGGGCCGACAGACATGATAATTGAACAGCTGAGACACAGAAGACAGCACCACCTGTCCTGGGTCGTGGCTGAACACAACATACACACACACACACACACAAAAGCCAAGCAACTAGAGGTAGTCCTCAACTTAAGACAACAATTGAGCCCAAACTTTGTCACTAAGCAGTGCTGTGAATTTTTTCCTCATTCTACGAGGACTACCTGTGTGCATTTTTGAAACCAACACAATTGTAAAATTACCTTGGGGTAATACAGGGGGAATATAAATTTTATCAATAGATAAAAGAAAAAAAATCCCTCTGATGTTGTGCTGTTAGAGCAGTGTTTCTCAACCTTGGCCGCTGGACGATGTGTGGACTTCAACTCCCAGAATTCCCCAGCCAGCTCTGCTGGCTGGGGAATTCTGGGAGTTGAAGTCCACACATCGTCCAGCGGCCAAGGTTGAGAAACACTGTGTTAGAGGAATTCGACCTTTACAGGTAGCCATAGCCACAGTTGGGCCCAAATTTTTGGTCGCTAAGTGAAACATTTGTTAAGTGAGTTTTGCCCCACACAAATTGTTTTTAAGTTTATCATCACTGGAGATGGTAAGTCAGTAATCTGGTTGTTAAGTGAATCTGGCTTCCCCCACAGACTCCGCAAAAGGGGATCACGTGATCCCCAGGATAACTGCGAACGTCGTAAAAACGAGTCAGTTGCCAAACGTCTGAATTTTGAGCATGGGGAGGCTGCAACAGACGCTAAGGGTAAGAAAAACGTCATGTTTTTCAG